AATGAATTTAAAGGAGAGAGTGGCAGCAGCTGTCATCATCACCCATCCATCATTGCAGCCACACTTGAGTGCTGTAATTGTGCAACATCTAGACATTCCCTCTCACTTTTATCAAATGCTTTAATATTTTTCATTATTGTTTTGCTTGTTTACATGTGCTTTACTTCACAAATGAAATGACTGAATTTTTATTCATTTGATATATTATTTATTTTTTACTTGTTTTAATGTTCTGTATTGTGCCCTACAAAGGCAAAGCGCAGTAACTACACATTTGGTCAAAAATGAGTTAAGACTTATAATGGGCTTTATGACATGTGTTCTGTCTTGTGAAAAAATATCTGGGTTAAATTATGTCCCGTTTCGGAGATGCATTACCACATAATCTACCCATAACATGTTTGACTGCCTGGTATAAAACTTTAAAGGCCTTTTTTCTCTGTTTGTGTAGTTACTGCACTTAGCCTTTGTAGGCAATTTCACAAATAAAATGACAGAATTTTTATTCATTTGATTTAATATTATTTAAGGTGTGGTAAAGGGTGACAACTGGAGCTTGCTGCCGTTGAATCCTCCGCTGATATCTGTCAGAATTCCCACTGATCCCTTTGTGACCAAGGTGTAGAGACAGTGCCCAATCAGGGTCGCATTTCATATGCTGGCTTGCCTGAAAAAAAGAAAAAAAAAAAAAAAAAAAAAACTGAATTTCTGTTGCATAGCTGGCAGCAATTGTGTGATTTACATTTACATGTATTCATTTGGCAGAAATGTTTAAATCCAAAGAGATTTAAATAAACTAAAGAGCTCCAGCAATATAAGAACAATATAAGCTATTCATAATAATTATCCTTTGCACTACTATTTAGTTCTTTGTGGTTATTTTATTCAATTCAACTTAATTAAATAATTCTCTTATTTAATTTAATGTTGTTATGGCTCTGCATGTTGGCACTGGAAAATAAGTTGCTTGTAATCTCAGCTCTGCATGTTGGCACTGGGAAATAAGTTGCTTGTAATCTCATTGTACATATGTATAGTGACAATAAAAGGGCATTTCATTTCATCATAATAAAGCATTTTAATCGATAATTATATGCTGATTTGGCTAACAGCTACAACAGTATCTTTATTTACCAGCTTGCTCCCAAAAACACAGCAAAGTACTTACTGCTTGAATCTAACAGCAGAGAGTTTACTGCTAAATGAATACATTCAATGTAAATAGCTAGCAAGTTAACTCTGGCAGCTGGAAATCTACTGACCATGTCATGAAAATATCAGTTATCAGTTAGCCTAACGGCTAATCGCGATGCTAACGGAGTTGATTACAAAGCAAAGAGACCACAGTGATAATTATACCTTACCTTTGTGAAAGTGCCGTGAGCAAACAAGCATGTCCTTGGAAATATTATCAAAGATAATGGTTTTCCTCCGTACAGCAGCAACCCAAGCCATCCGACGCCTCCTTGTGATTTCAGACACCAAGTCTCCTTGTGTTTTTTCCACGTTGGAAAATGGTGAAAAGTAACAATTTGAGAGGCGTTTGCCCTTTCGATCGATTACAACAGTTCACAACTGAGCAATACTGAACCGTTTTCCTTAAAAAACAATTTGACATTACAATTTGAATTCCCACCTACTGCCTACTACAGTACATCTACTTCCGTACCGTGATTCCCACAATGCACTGCGACGTGACGCAACGATAGGCTAACTTTAATTAAATTATTAAACATAAATCAGATTGGTTTTCATTAAATCGAGAAAATGGAATTTTGTTTTATTTACGATCACTGAGAAATGTTCTATTATTTAAAATGCAAAAAAAAAAACAAAAAAAAAACATTTATTATTTTTAAGGTGAAAATTATTCATTTGCCTGGATCCACGCCGAAGAAAACGTCTAAATGTCACATTTTTAATGAAGCAGCCTAATGAGTAAAATGTCTATTTTTCCGGCGTCCCCCCAGCTCCTCATTTAAGCAAAAGGTACGATAAAAACAACGTATTACATCGACGTTAAACCACGTTAACCGTGTTAACCATAACCTTTTAAATACTCGAACTAGTTCCATTGCTTAGCAACGAGAAGAAACTCCTGTAACGTCAGTGCGTGAAATAATCACGTTGGTCCACTTTGGAAAACGTGTAGATGTCACGGTTTAGTTTAAACTCAAAACCATAAATAGGGCTATACTGCCCTCTTGTGTCAAATTATATTTCTATATTTATTTTTCCAACAAATAAAATCAAACCGTCATATGCACGCATAAATTCCGCATTTGACGTAAGGATGCTCGTCCATTTCCGGTTGTGTAGATTAAGCGGAGGAAAACCGGAGAAAACGGGATTATGGCAGAGTCTTCAATATTTAGGCCCTGTCCCAATACTCCCTTGAGCCCTAAGGCCTTCCTCGAAGTGGACACTTGTTGAAAGTGCACTTTAGCGGAGAAAGTGTGCAAGGGCCCGAAGCTGTGAAGAGCAGAATTGGGACAGTTTTGCACACGTCAAAAAGCTACGTCAATTCTGTTGTGATCAGCAAACACTGTTCATTTGGCTAATGTGTGTTATGCTTATAATAGCTGTAACATGACACAATCCTTTGAATTAAAAAATTAATATCTTTTTTTTTTTTTTTTTTTTACTCTTAGCCAGCAACCTTTCTGTTAATGTTATTAATATTAAAACATTTTTTTGGCTAAGATAATATGTGATTGAGGTTTACCTGAGTTTATACTGCCTTACCATATTCACAGAGATTCGAAATGCAATGTTAATTGTTATTATGGAAATTGATGAAATTCCCATACATGAAAAAACAAACAAAAAAAAAAAAACATGACGTGTTGGTGATATATTTTGTATAGGCTATATATTAAAATAGTCTAACATATAGGCTGTATAAAATAAAATGACACAACCCTGTCTCTTTTATATTTTATTGACCAAGAATAACCATTATTAAAGTATAAGTAGCTTAAAAAGTATAAGGAGCTATATAAGTCAAGAAATAAGGCAAGTTAAAAGATTCAGTCAAACATACGTTTCAACGTTACAGATAAATAGCCTAAATATATAAAGTTATGAAACTTCGCTTTTCCCCTCAGCCAAAACGATTTGCCAGGGAACAAATCATAGATTAATGAGACCAAAGATCGCCCGTCTGATATACACAAGCCGATTTATAACTCATGTTTAACCACTAGAAACAGAGCCCGCGGGAAACGCGAATGACTAGCCGGGGCAAGGCTGTTGCAGGCGGGGTACATGAGCGCTGAGCACCCGCCGCCCTGTGATCACCTGGAACTCCGAAAACGTCAGATCAATTTTTTAAAATAGGCGCTATTTTTATAAATAAACCACAGATTTCAGCTTTAAACAACTATATTCTCGACTGAAAAACTCTTAAAACTACATTTAGTGACCCAATAACACAAATATTTTTGAAAAACTCTTCACCACAATGGCTTCCTTTATCTTCGGAGTTTCCGCTCCCGAACAGCACCATAGCAACCGTTCTCCCCTACAAGGATTCTGGGTAATATCCCACAGCAAAGTGTGGTCTGATGCACACTTACGAAAAGGGTGCATTAAGTGCCCTTTTGATCACCCCTGGAGAACACTATTAGAGGATTGGGACACTCTACGGTCTTGCACCCCTTATCGAGAACGCGCATTGAGGGGCACAAGGGCGCAAGTGCGGATATTGGGACAGGGCCTTACTGTCCTCTCGTCTTTGAAACGAAACGTACATACGTTTAGATGTAATTTTATATATAGTTATGTTTATTTAATATAATTTTAAAAAGAAGCATAAACACAACGAGGGGTGTCTGTTTTATCTGTTTTTGTGACTAACGTTTCATTAGTATAACCATGGAGTTTAAAATTCAATATAAATTCTCGGTATTGCATTGGACTCTATGATCGGCGGAAGTTATCGAGCATCCTTAATCCTTCACCGGAAATAACGCCGTGCATAGAGCCCATTAACGACAATTTTGCACTTATTTTATCTACTCCAGTAAAAAAAAAAAAAAAAAAATCTGAAGGATGACCCACCCACATTTTTTTTTTTTGCTTCCGACGCCCCTGCGTTAATGAATAACTACACAAGAACTATGAGTAACACAATATTAACAATCTAGTAACTATTATTAACTAACAAGAAACTCTGATTAACGAACTAGTAAGTAATAGCGCACAGGCGAAAGTGGTAGTTCACTATTAAGTAATCAATAACTACTATTTTTTTAATACTTCCCAGAGAACTACTGAAAAAGTTTATTAACAATCTAGTAACTACTATTAACTAAAATAAACTCCTATTAACAAATTAGTAAGTAATAGCTCACAGATGAAAGTGTTACTAGATACATCTGTGGGAATTAATTATTTGGATCCGTATAAAGTGAATATCAGTAATGACTCAAGTGTTACTAAAGACATTTTCTAAAAGTTACTAAAGTTCACCAAAAAATCGCAAACATTTGCACAAATCATGACTAGATCATGTAGGCTAGTAACACTTGAGTAATTACAAGTTCCAATGATCTTCACTTTATAATACGAATCCAAATAATTAGTAATTCCCACAGAAGTATCTAGTAACACTTTCATCTGTGAGCTATTACTTACTAATTTGTTAATAAGAGTTTATTTTAGTTAATAATCCCTTACTTTAGGCTATATTTCAAGGGAAAAGTCATTCAATTACAGTATGCCTACTTAATTAGCCTACTTATGTGATTTACATTAATGACAATTTAGCATTTGTATTTGCTAGGCTTCAAATTAGGTTTTATTATTCTACGTAGGCTAAATGGTAACACTTTTGTGTGTAGTAGTTTCTAATGTAACACAAATATATTGTTATTTAAAAGTGAAATGACAGACTATGACAGTTTCCGCCGAAGATGAGCGAAACTGTGACTTTTAAATGAAGTCTCAAAAGAGAGACTCTTAATTTGAAAGGCTGGTCTGAATCTCCCTCCTCAGTTCCGCTTCACGCTGCGGCGGTGCGGGTCTGGTCTGGGCTGAGCTGGTCTGTGCTGTACTAGTGCGGGATGATTCTCTTTTTCTGAAAACCCTCAGAATAAGCTGATTTTACGAATAACATTCTACTTTAACGTGTCTAATCCGTCGGTGGATCTGATCTCGGTGAAGGTATGAGTCTAAATGAGTTGTGATGTGATTTCTGATCATGCTTTAGCCCTTTATTGATCAGCTGTCATTGATGTAGCTACTTTAGGGCCCTGATGTACTCATCATTCATTGATTTCACTAACAGTTATTTATATATATATATATCTTGGCCTAAATGTGGCACTATAAAGTATTTGACCTTGTTATTATGTATTTTCTGTTTGGGGTGATCGGATCCACCCACACATTCAAAACAAAATATTACAGCAGGTGTTTTCACTTTAGTAACGTTACGGCTGCTCACAAATGAAAGGAAACCAAAAGCGTCCATATTGACTTTATTATTGGATAATTTTCTGAAACATAATCTATTTCTATTCATTCAGTAGGTATGCTTACTTACTAAGAGACTAAACTGAGGAGCTGCCCGTGGTGTTCATTGACATTTCTCTTCCTGAAATAGTTGGTCTCATGATCAAACCACAACACACTGAAGATGACAGCTGCTTTACTTTCTGTGCTTCAGTTTAGCCTTGGGATGATAGTGGCTGGATTGGTTATTTATCTGTAATACATAAGTGTAAATAATATAGTTAGTAGCATTATAAGCAAACTTATGAGCTCACTTTGTATTAGAGGTAAAGGTCACAGAGACCAGGTTGGACAACTTGTGATTCCGGTTTTGTTGTGTGAGATTTGGATTCATGATTTGCAGGATGCTTTCAATGTATTTTTTTCTTATAATTAGGATTTATATATATTTTTTTTCCTCTTAAATTTCAGCACAACAAAACCAGATCATTTAGAGACAGTGTTGTTATCATTAAACTATTCATTGTTTTCGGTAATTGAAATAAAACGAACAATACATAATTGATGAAAAACTTAAACCTAAGAGATGTTGCTTTGGCAACTAACTAACAAAAACTGAAGAAAAAAAAATGACACCATTAAATAAAACTTAAGCTACAATTAAAATAAAAGCTAAAAATATAAGCTCATATTAATAAACACTATAATAGTATAAGAATAATTCTACAAATAACTCTTTCTGGATTTTAAAGCTTCTAATGTTTCAGATTAGAATTAAAACATTATTCAGCGCTGTACAAGAAAGTATAAGACAATATTAGAGGTCGACCGATAGTGGATTTTACCGATAATGATAAATAGGTTGGACAACGCCGTTCGATAACCAATTAATCAACCGACAATTTTAAATAAATCTGAACTTTAATTCAAAACTTTTAAAACAGTACTGAACCATACATATTTAAAGATACATATTAATTATACCTTGATCATTCATGTTAATTCATAGTGCATTCACTAATGTTAAGAGATACATCTTTAAAATGTTATAATGTTTTGGTAAATGTTGAAATTAACAATAAACAATACTTTCATTAACCTTCGTTAATGTTACAAATGGACTCTTATTGTAAAATGTTACCATTACCATTACAAATAAATCCAAAAACTATTGGTATGGACTTTTGCCGATATATCCAATTGTTCCAGCATCTTTTATTTATTTATTTATTTATTTATTTTATATTTAGAAAAAAATATGTATACCTCCAGTAAGATCATATTTGATTCTTACAGGATTCCAATAGGAATTCTGTTCACATTCCTTTGGAATCTTGTTTGACTCTGTAATCTACATGCTGTGTAAGTATGTCATCACAGCTGACTGGTATTTCTCTGTACACCCATCCTCCTCTCTCCCTGCAGATGAGTGGAGCGGCGTTCCCCTCTCCCACAGCCGAGATGGCGGAGATGAACCGGATCCACTATGAGCTGGAATACACGGAGGGCATCAGTCAGAGAATGCGCATTCCCGAGCAGCTCAAAGTGGCTCCGTTTAGCTCAGAAGAGCAGGAACTCCCAGAGCGGGACACGCACCGCACGGCAATGATGCACGTTCCCGAGAGAATCGTAGTGGCAGGTACGAGATGGAAAGCACAAAATATCTTCTTACAGATTTTTGGCACGAAATGAGGGTGAATTTCTCTTCTAGACAGTTTGTTTCATTTTAATTATCAGTAACACTTTACTTGAAGCGGTGTCATTGAAGTGTCATTCGCTCAATAATGATATTTTGAATGCAAATATGACATTGTTTAAGATGCCTTTATGACATCTTGACATAAACCAATACATCATAACCTGTCAGTGTCTTTGTCATGACAACTTGACATTAAATTAAGTCAAACTGTCATGTGGTTGGCTTTGACATTGGCTGTCATGAGGCCATTATAACTGAGTCGTGAATATTTTCCATGACCTCAAATGGAGTGGTACATATTGAATTTGTCATTAAAAAGTTATAATGGCCTCATGACAGGCAATGTCAAAACCAACCACCTGACAGTTTAATGTAATGTTAACCAATAAAGCTAGGTAGTTTAACTTTGATAATTAATCTGCTATGTCATGTTATTTATGACTGGTTGTGTTGTCTTAGTAATGTCAAGTTGTCATGACAAAGACGCTGACAGTTTATGATGTATTAGTTTATGTCAAGGTTTCATAACAAAGACATCTCAAACAATGTCATATTTGCATTAAACGTCATAATTGAGCAAATGACACTTAATAACAGTTGTCACAAACATGCATAAAACTGTCATGTCATGATTATGAAGGTGTCATGTTAGTCTTATGCGCATCCCTTCAAGTAAAGTGTTACCGAATTGTCCACACACACACACCAATTTTCAGAGTGGACGAATATCTGATCGGTCACTCATCTTTTTATGTAGGAGACAGTGATGACATGCAATATCCCAGAGACTTGGACATCATCCAGTCCACCCCGTTGGAGTCAACACTGTCCCTCAGGACGCCACCCCGGGTCCTCACGCTCAACGAACGGCCCTTCGACTTCCACGAAATGGAGCAGGCAATCTCTGCAAGTCAGCCTAGCGAAGAAGTAAGTGGGACAGACTTAATTTAGCAAGATGTAGGCTGTGCAGATGTGAGCGGTGTGATGTGAACGGCTTGGGTTTAGTAAAATGAGGAGGAACACCTGTCCACTTTCTCTTCTTCACACAGGTGCGCACGCAAACCAAGGCACGTAGAGAGCGCACGGTCAGCGAGAACGTAGGTGTGCAACACAATGGCCAGCTCGCCAGAAACGACTCTACGTGAGTGCAGAGCCACGAACACACACACACACACACATGTACTTTCGTTTCACCTCTGCCCTGTCAACATGGCCCTCTCACTCCATTTTATGTTTTTTCCTCCTCCCTGGTGTCTCTCTTTCTCCCTTCGTGATGCTGACTCAAAGGGGGTGAGTTAGAACCATGCATGGATATTGTTTAGTTTCAAGCCCTTTTAGTTTGGCTTTTGTGCTTTTTTTGCAGGTCAGTGCATGTTATTATTGCATGTACATGTGTGACCCAATCACACCTGTCAGTCGTGGTTAAAACTAATTTGATCGCAATATAAACAGCTTGTGATGTGGTATTGGTCAGTGGTTAGTGTAGTTTGGAGTTGCTTTGTCAGTCAGTTTCCCTCATGCCTGACAGCTCTATTCTACTCTATTGTACTCTAATGAATGGCCACTCCTTGCATTGTGGAGCTGTTCACACTGAGGGTTTGTACTTAAAAAAACTAACAGATCAGTCATTCTCCTTCAACCAAACAGTTGTTGGCTTGTTTTGACGTGATGTTTTCTGATTGGCTGATCTGTTAATAAAAGTACTTAAACCCACCAATGACCAGCACCTCTTTTTTTTTTTTCTAGACCCCAATAAAATTAAGACGTGAATTGCTTCTGCTACTAATCTAAATATGTCATGTCCATCAGCCAAACTGTCTTTTATCAAACTTTAATCTAAATTTACACTAAAAAGGACATTTTAACATAATCGCAATTTAATATTTACACTGCCATTTAAAAGTTTAGGGTCAGTTTGATTTATTTTTTTATTACTATTATCAGGAATGTATTAAATGTATCAGTAAGTGACAGTGAATACATTTTTAATGTTTTGAAAATGCTGTTCTTTTACTATTCATGAAAGGGTCCTGAAACAAAAGCATCACAGTTTCCACCAAAAATAATAAGCACCACAACTGTTTTTACAACATTGATAATAATAATAAGCATCTTGGAATGATTTTTGAAGGATCATGTGACACTGAAGACTGGAGTAATGATGACGACTAGTAATGAGCTTTGCCATCACAGAAATAAAACATTTTAATATATATAGAGATCAAATTTTTGATCAAATAAATGAATGCAGCCTTGGTAAGCAAAAGAGACTTCTTACTTCCAAAATCTTACTGACCCCAAACTTTTAAATGCTAGTGTATTTAAATATTTAATAATATTGACCAATAACAAGTGACAATACACAAAAGCAGCAATAAACTTAATAAACCTGTTACATTAATAATCACACTATCAAGAACATGTCCAGTTCACCTTAAAATCAAAAGACGGATTTAAGAAATTATATTTAGCTTTAAAAAAATTATATTTATATTAAAATATATTTAATATAAAAATAATACTACAAAACAATAATAAAAAATATGATAAATATTTATTAAATGTAAAAATGTATTTTAATATAACAAAACACACACACACACACACGCACACATATATATATATATATATATATATATATATGTACGCATGTACAAATGTGCTTAATTGGACAGTTCACGTTCATCCCAAATTTAAAATTCTGTTATTAATTACTCACCCTCATTCCAAACCCGTAAGACCTTCATTCATCTTCCTAACACAAGTTAAGGTATTTTTGATGAAATCCGTGAGGTTTCTGAACCACCTATAGGCAGCAACGTCATTGCAACTTTAAAGGCCCAGAAAGGTAGTAAAGGCATAGTTCAAATAGTCCATGAGACTACAGTGGTTCAATCTTATAATGTGCTCCGCAATCGACATACTTTTTGTGTGCAAAAAAACAACAACAAAAGAACGACTTTATTCAACTATTTCTTCTCTTGTTCACGTTGAATCACTTCCGGGTTCTACTCCGTATTGGCCGGCACCTTTGTCAGCATCACATGCATAACGTTAGTCTATGAAAGCTCTCGGATTTCATCAAAAATATCTTCATTTGTGTTCCGAAGAACGGTCTTACCGGTTTGGAATGACATTATAGTGAGTAATCAATGAGAGAATTTTCATTTTTAGGGAGAACTATCCCTTTAATAATAACAACAATAATAAAACATTTTGGTCCCTTCATAGACATTTCTTTCTGAAAAATGTGGTCAGTGTCCTGGACATGTTTGCATGAGATTAACCTAATCTGATGTGCACTATTTTTAAGGCAGACTGCTGTTAGGATCTCAGAGGTGAAGTTGTGTGTGTTTGGATCAGTGGCGATGGATTCAACGCTTTAGTAAACGGCCTCGTTGTTAGCCTGATGTGTATCTGCGTTTGAGGCTTGTGGTTGTGATGCTCAGACACTGCTTTGTGTTATTGGTGTTGTTAAAACGAAGAGAGTTTGCTTGTTTGAGCTTGGTGAAGTGTTTGTGTTGAGGTTGTAGGTTTATTTTTATATGGTGAGGCTGTTGCCCATCATGTGTGACATCTCTCCATTTCTCCCGGGCCAATGAAATGTAGTCTATATTTCCATTATCCGACCTCTGTTTCTTTCTACTTTGATTTCCTTCTTTCTGAAACCTTAAATTTGTTTGACATACACTCTCTCTCTCTCTTCTATCTTCTACTTGTCCTCTCTTGTTCTTTCGTTCCATCTCCCTCTCTCTCTCTCTCTCTCTCTCTCTGTGGTGCGGTCAGTATGACTCCCTCCCCCTGCGCTGCATTGCGCACTATGGCTCCCCTCGGTGGTGCCGAGGATGGGTTTAACCTCTTCAGCGCCCACGGTGTCCTTTCCTTCATCCAGTCAACCACACGCCGGGCCTACCAGCAGGTCCTGGAGGTCCTGGACGAGAACCAGCGCAGGTGACCTTTGACATCAGACCCCTGAATCTTCCCTGAAAGGCTCATTTAGATGTTGCTTCACAGAGTAACTAAACTAATGTGTTAGATTAAGCAAGGAACAAAGTCCTCCACGACTTGTAGACATTCTTCTGTCATTGATTCATGACAAATTGTTTAGGTGAGGAAATGCACTAAGCATATTTGCACTGGCAGTCAAACACTCCTCCTTAAAATGTAATGCTTTTAACCACAAACTATAGAACCCTGCATATTTAAGTTTTTTGGAGGAAGTTTGTTAGATGACAGCTTTGTCGCTGTATTGTTTGCTGTTGAATGTGGACACGCTGCTTCCCTCTTCCTTTGCCTCTTTGTTTGGGGTTTTATTTCTTACTCTTTTCTTTGAATCCTTCCTTTTTTCATGAGCTATAAAATTTCAGTTCAATTTACACATGGGTTTGTGGCATTGGTGTATATTTTTTTTTAAAGAAATGTTCAGGTCCATTCAAAGTGAAGTTCTTTTGAAAGCATTTGTGGCGTAATTATCACAGAAAATAATTATATATATATATATATATATATATAATATTTTCCAGTTTTCTGTGTCACATGATTCTTCAGAAATCATTCTATTCTATTATGATGTTTAGATGATCAAGAAACATTTATTATTATTATTAATAGTGAAAACAGTTGTGCTGCTTAATATTTGAGTTTTTCAGGATTATTTGATGATTTAACGGTTTTAAAAAAACAACATTTATTTGAAAAATATATTTTATTATTATTATAAATGTCTTTACTGTCACTTTTGATTAATTTAATTCTTTTAATTCAAAATCTTACTGACCCAAATATGTATTAATTCTGTTTTCATTATTATTATTTATTTTATTGAAAATGAAATTATGCCACAAACACTGTAAAATGATACACCTTAACTTGTATTCAATCCGGAACATTCCTTTTTTTTTTGATTTTGGTTTCCACGGATACCTGTATCTGTGAGGTCATTTCCTGTGCTTGGCTTCTGACTAACTTCAGCTCCACTGACAGAACTAAACTCAGCTCAACTTTAGGTTTATGTAAAACCAGCATAATAAAAGTCACTGCTCTGTTTTCCTTCTGAAAATGAGAAAGAAAAAGGATGTTTGTGTTTACATCTGTGCATTTGGCTGCTTTATCATGAAATCATTATTTCTTTTGCAAGGTTTTATTTGATTATAAAAATGAAATGTTGACAGGGTCTGTGAGACAAAGACCCCCTGCAACATGTATTTCTAAAATATTAGCTTAAAGCGCATCTGCGTGTTATTAAAGTTGTCGGTTTGTTTGTGTCTTCTTTCGTCCTTTCCCTCTTTCACTTTCTCCGTATCCGCTTCTCAGCAAGCCATCTCTCAGAGGGGCTTCTACCATCTCTAACCCCCAGCATGACAACAGGTATCTCTTTTCTCTTTCTCTCATTTCTTCCCTGTCGTCTGTTTTATTCTCTGGCTTTGCTTTTCTCCCTTTCCTCTCAATCCAATCTCAATGTCTCATGAGATGAATAATGTCTCTGACAGGTATGCGCTGGCCACGCTGGACTCGACTCTAGAGGGAGGAGCAGATGACATGGCTGTTGTCGACGCCACCTCTCTACGCAGACAGGTATTATTCTGCTCTTAAAACAACTCTATATGCTTGATAGTGTGCAGTTCTTAAGATTTTTTATTTTTTAAATTCACTACCATTAAAAAAAACTGCATTTATTTGAACAAAAATACAGTAAAATTAGTAGTATTGTGAAATATTATTACAAATTAAAATAGCTGTTTTCTATTTTACAAAATTTTAAAGGGATAGTTCACTTTGAAATTAATTTTTGGTATGTTTTAGCTTACCTCAAGGGCATCCAAGATGTAGGTGTCTTTGTTTCCACAGTAGTTTCAATTTTGATATTTTTAGGTCAAACCGTTCTTGTCTGTCAGTCATATAATGGAGGTCTATGGTCACCACCTCAAAGAGCATGCACAGAGAAGTCCAAATTAAACATGATTTAATGACTCGTAAATGTAAGTACGCATTGATGGCCTTAGACCCGAAACGGGCATAGAATGGTATAATGGGCCAAAGTTTGTTTGTGTTTTTGTCCAAAATCCAAATAAAAATCAATCTGTGACAATGCAGACCACACTCAGATATGAAGGGGTTACATTTAAACACAAATACAGAACAAAAAATCTTCCAAAAAATGTAATAAAAAAGAAAAGAAAAATATTATCAGTAGGAAACAATATAAGCTCGCTGAACAATAAAATGAAGTATTGTTTTAATGCTTCGGGTCATTTTGACATGGGAGGAGAAAATAATAAATATTACTGCCTCCAATCTTTTAAACGGTATTGCTTTTTAATCATTTTTATTTGCTTTGATTTTGTGTCATTACAGATTGTCAAGTTGAATCGGCGTTTGCAGCTCATAGAGGAGGAGAACAAAGAGAGAGCCAAGCGAGAAATGATCATGTATTCCATTACTGTAGCTTTCTGGCTCATCAACAGCTGGGTTTGGTTCCGTCGCTAAAGCCGCATGGACTCCACAATGTGGGAGGGGCGAAATGAAAACCTTGCCCTGCTTCAATGTGTCAAAATTCAGCCAAATGTTTTTATGGCTAAAATGTTTTTTCTTCACGGCAACAGCGGTAAAGTCAGGGATGGCTTTTTGTGTTTAAGTTTGGGTCTATTTTTATTTTATTATTATAAATATGTATTTATACCCTTTTTTTATTTTAATTTGTACAACTGCTCTTTTTCTTTGTTTTGTATGTTTTTAATTCCTTTTCTTGTGTTTGAGTTTTGTTTTTTGCATAGCCAAGCTTGAACTAGATGTATATATATATGTATATTACTTCACGTGTCTTTGAGCTTTGGCAGTAATAATAATATGTTCCATAGGTTTACTATACAGGACTGCATTTACCAAATGCATCGTAAGCTTAAGTTGATTGTAGGACAATTGCCACCAATGGTCTCTACGATGAATTTAGGCTTACGATGCTTTTTGGCGAACACAGCCAAGATGATTACAATATTAAGTAAACTTCTACAAAGACCAATGGAATCGAACACACTGATATATCATAGACGAGAAATGCATCAAATTAAATAATAGTATTATTTATGGACTGTTGTGATTTAGGTACATATGTATGTTACCTAGAAACCATACTTGTTAGTGTATGTGTGAGTTTAGTCCTTGTCATTATTTATGTAAAACTGCCCATATGGCATTTCTGCTACAACCTTTTCTGCAGGATATTACTGAAATGAGACAGATTCAGTTTTCCTCTCACAGAGCCATAAACATTGAATTACAAATGCTTTTATTTGAATAAATGACAACAGTAGTGAACTACATTCTGCCCTGCCTGCTTTTAATCTACTGGATTTGTTTCAGTTTTGTGTCTGTGTTTAATTTCTGAAGATAAAGTATAAGCAATGTCGGTTTTCCAAAATGAATTTATCAGTTATTTTAGTATTTATACATTTTTTTAATATAATTTTATTTTAATATTTTCTTTTTCATGTTAAATTACGTTTTGTGTGCTTTTGTTATTTTTTTCATTCTATAAACATTTAATACATGTTTTTTTAAACACGTTTTTTTTCTAATATTTATATTTTATATTCTTTCAGCTTCATTTCAATAAACAAAACCAAATTTTAGTAGTAATAGTTTTGGTTAGCAATAACCACTGAAATTTGAAAGTGTTGTGCTTATTCATGGCTTTAAATATCATGCTACTGCCACAGTATTTTTTAACTAAGAAGCAATTGGCGTATTGATGATTTTAAAAAGGTAAATAACAATATAAAAAGAAGTATATAATAATAAAACGCATTGAGAAAAGCATTTGAATTTACAATCGTCTCTAAGTTTTGTCCTAAAGAATTTGTACTTACCTGTGAACGTGAAAAAAAAAACTTCAGTACACAACTTATACTGGTCAGTATTAATTACTCTCTTGGCATGTTCAGTTGGTCACTCAGCCAAAATAAAACACAAACCCGGTGCTCCGGCCAGGTGGGGCGCTGTGGACATTTTCTTCCGCTTTCAGTCGCTCACCAGGTCGCGGCTGTCATGGCGGCGTGCAGGGCGCTCGTGAGTCGCGCTGTATTACCTCTTCATTATCATCATGTATCCAGAGGAGTGATGCTCACACACGTCAGGGAGAAAAAGAGATGGATGAAGGCTTATACATTCATTATGGAGAGGAAGAGAAAAATGGAGGGCCCTCCACCTCCAAAGCCGCGGTCAGTAGAACATCCCAAGGCCACTTGTGATACTCTCTGGCTGTGGGTGACTCAAATCATATTCAGCTGCCTGCCTAGGCTGTATAACTTAGTTAGGCGCTTTAGGGCGTATTTGTGATGCCCAAAATGCTGTCTAGGCAGACAGCTAAGTAGGTTTTAAGACACAGCCAGTTATTTAACTGTAATTATCAAGATAAGCACAAGTAATAATGCGTTTATAGAAAAGTGAGATTGTTGTGATATTTAGTATCTTGTCTTCTCATTTTATTGGTTTGCATTGTGACCACTAAAGCTGCAGATGAATTCTTTCTCCGTTCAGTCATTTTATCTTGTTGGGGGCTGATATCAGCACATTTTGCTTAATTTCACATCGATTAAACCAAGGATTTTCTCTGAATGTCTTAAAGTAGACTTCCGTCATGAGAATGCATGATAGTCACATGATTTATTTTTACATTTTAATATTAGAGACCTAGACTATGTTGTTTTGTGAAAAATAAAATTGATGCTACACAGACACAGTACATGTGATGCATGAATGGCATTGATAAATCTTCTTAAAGGGATAGTCCAATCAAAAATAAAAATTCTGCAATCATTTACTCATCCTCATGTTGTTCCTAACCTGTATTACGTTGTTTCTTCTCTGAAACCAAAAAGTAGATATTTTAGTTTAGTTTAGTTTATTAAGCACTTTTACTCAACTGACTATTGAACAAAGTACTGTACAATATCTAAAACACATAAAGACAAGACTAAAAACACAACACTAGAACCACAGTTAAATAACAGTGAAATAAACCCTTCAGGTTTAATAGCCTACACGAACAACTACTATACCCCATTAAATGCTAATGCGATTAAGTGTTTAAAAACACTTAATGTGAGTGCCGATCTGAAAGAAAGGGGCAGCTGACCTTAAAGACTATTTTGGTTCATATTTCCCAATCAAATTCACCAAATACAATGTAGCCATACCATGAAATGATTTATAAACAAAAAACAAAATTTTAACTTTATTCTGTTATCGAATGGTAAAAAAAACCACAAAGCTTTGGCATTGTAACATTGTAAAAAACAAAAATGAAGAATGCTGGTAGCCAGTTTGACTTCCCAATGGGAATCAAATCTATTTGGTTTCCGACATTCTTCAAAATATCTTCTTTTGTGTTTGTAAAAATTCTAAAGCGTTTATGGGTGGACTATCCCTTTAAATTATTAACAGCCCATTTCTCTTACAACCGCAACATATCTCAGAGCTACAAAAATTAGCACTAAGTAAAACAGAGTGTTTATTCAGTATAGACATATACATATTTGTTAATCATTGAACAAAGACTTTGAAAGTGATTGGATAAACAAATGAACCGATTATCACAAGGCTTCCTACTTCATATTATCATATTTGTACTTTCCGGTTTATCTTCATCCACATGGTTCTTCTTCAACATCACATAATAAACTTTTTTAGTTGGGAACATTTTATCTGACTCCCTAGACTCTTCCCAGGCCTGCTGACCTTGACTTCAGAAAACAATCATTCACAATTCGCATTTGACACATGAGAGAGAGACAGAAGAGAGATTATCTGAGGCCTTGGCTTGCATTGAGTGCCTCCTCTGATAACTTACAACATCTCCATGCTAATATCAGCCAAAATCTATATATATATATATATATATATATATATATATATATATCTTGCATAGTAGATTACCTTTATTGCTTTAACCGTCTTTTGCTTTCTCTTCGCATCAGCTCCCAGCTGCCGAACTTTGATTACCATGCTGAAGTGGAGGCTTTCGGTGCCCGCCTGCAGGAGAGTTTCTCTCTGGATCTTCTGAAGACTGCGTTTGTGAGCTCGTGTTACCTTCGCTCTGAGGAGGAGAGGAGGCGAGCACTGGGCCTTGACTCGGAGATGACCGCCCTCAACCTGAAAGACAACGGCGAGCTGTCTGTGCACGGTCAACAGTTCACAAAGGTGAGAATTTTGATGAGTTTTATACTGGAAAAAATGGAATGAAATTGATATTACCTTTCAGTTGTTATATACAGGGTTTCCTTGGTGACTGGTGCAGGGGCAGCTTTCATAGCTTGCCTGAGGAGGGTGTGGCAGCTGTTGTAGACCACCTGACGGGGTCAGAGGTCATGTGTGATGTCGCGCGGAAGCTTGCCGTGGAGGATTTGACGATGAGTGCAGAGTTTCCTGTTCCCGATGACACCCTAAAAGGAACGTTCTTCGCTGTGATTGGGGCTCTGGAGAAGAGCAGCGGGCCTGTGCAAGCTGGGCTTTTCATTAGGGTAAGACAAGTGTCCCATTACTGTTAACATTGTATGTTGTTTTTTCTCATTTGTTGTTGTTGACGTCTATTTGTATCCTATATATAAATATATTCACACATTATTATAAACAAAAAAATGTTGCATGCGAGTAATTATATAAATAAATGTATATATATAAATATATTAGTGCTGTCAAATTGATGAACAAAAGTTGTTCATTTATGTGTAGATATATATATATATAATATTTAAAAATATGAATAATTTCTGTATTTATATATATATATATATATATATATAATTTTTTATTATTTATATTTTATATTGTGTTTATATTGTATTTATATGTTATGTTAAAATAATTAAAAAAACATATTAATTTATTAAATTACTAATTATATATAATTATTTATTTTATATTTTATTATATATATTTCTATTATTAAATGAGTGTATAAATGTTTAATTACTAATATTAACTATATTATTTTTATATGAAAGTTACTAATTTTAATTAACAAAATTGTAATAATTGAATTTCTAATTATGTAATTTATATCTATATAATATTCATATATATATATTATATGTATATTCACACACTATTATAAACAAAAAATGTTGGATGCGAGTAATTATATAAATAAATGTATATATAAATAAACAAAAGTTTTTGTTTATTTATGTGTGAATATATGAAGAGTTCAGATGCAAAAGCCTCTAAATGCCATTTGAAATTTTCTTCTTTAATGATGATTTTTATCAAACGTGTACATTTAAGTTCAGTAATTTCACTTAAATGGCAATGATAATTACCTATTAATTGTTATTTAAGTGAAATTACTGAACTTAAATATGCAAGTTTGATAAAAATCATCATTAAAGAAGAAAATTTCAAATGGCATTTAGAGGCTTTTGCATCTGAACTCTTCATATATATATATATATATATATAATTTTATATTATGTATATTTTATATTTTGTTAATGTTATGTTAAAATAATTATTACTAATTACTAATTAAATAATTACTAATTATATATAAATATATTTTATTATATATTAGATTTTATTTTTATTTGATTAAATGTATAAATGTTTAATTACTAATCATATTAATTATATTATTTTTATTTGAAAGTTACTATTAAAGTTACTAGTTAGTAGTTACTATTTACTAATTAAATTTCTAATTACGTAATTTATATATATATATGTATATAATATTCATATATAATATTCTTGTGTATATACAGTACATGTATGTATGTGTTATTATTATTAATCATATATATCATATTACATATATAATATGCCTTAATCTTTGTCTGTGCACTAAAGTTTGATCCATCTGTTTGTTGGGTGTTGTTTTTGCAGGATTTCCTGGTGACTCAGCTGATTGGGAAAGATCTGTTTGACATGTGGAGGGTGGTTGATCCCATGGGGCTGCTGGTTAAAGAGCTGACCAGTAAAAGTTTAGCGCTACCCGAGCCTCGCCTCATTCGGGCTGCTGGCGCCAGTACTGTCCTCCCTCTCTATTTTGTTGGGCTTTACAGGTATGATACAATTACTGGAACTAGGGGTGGGCAATATACCTGTAGACACGATTAACCAGTAGAAATTTTACAGATATATGTTTATATATAGTTATTGAGAAATAGAATTGTGAATAAATTTTTGCCTAGATCGCCCACACCTAGATAAAACAATAAATTGCAGTTGGTCAATTTATTTGGTCACTTTGTGTCACATTTCACTGAATAAATTTCCAATGTTAGAACAGAAAATTAACATTTACAAACAATGGTGTAATAGTCACTACTCTGCGTAATATATAAACCCTGATCTATTAACTTCAGTCTGTAAATGAAGTTGATTACTCTGAACAATCTGATGTCATTTCAGGGTTGAGTCGGATTTATTCTGGTCTCTTTTGATTTATTTTTAAAAAACAAATCTCTCATAATCTCTTATTTTGTGCCAGTGACCGTAAGCTGCTGGCTCAGGGTCCGGGTGAGACCGTCCTGGCAGCCGAAGAGGAGGCCGCGCGTGTGGCTCTGAGGAAACTCTATGGCTTCACCGAGGACCGCAGACCATGGGACTTCACTGCCCCTACCGGGCAGCTTCAGAAGCCCAGCACACAGGCTCTCGCCAGTGGATAAATGATGAGCAGATTCCATTGGGACACTTTTTGAAGAACCAAAATATTCACATTGATCATCATCTGCTTGATCACAACTATTATGTAGGGTGAAACTTCTGCTGAAATGTGGCCATGGTGACACTGGAGGCCAACTTATTATGCCTGAGAGACTGAAAATCTCGGTGCAACTCATACTAGGACAAAACTGCCCAATTAATGAAAAAGAGCATTAATCTGCTCTGGAGGTGCTTTAGATCTTCTGTTGGCACATATAAATTGATGTATATAAATGTTAAACTTTGGTTGCTAAAAATAAAAGTTCTGAACAAAATGGTGTTCTGTCTGTATAGAATACAAAAAAGTTTTTAGCCATAACTTTTGTGTTGGCTCTAGACAGATAAGTGCTCTTCTGAGAGTTAAAATGCCTTTAAAATTAAGTTTGAAGGTTACATAATTATACATGGTAAACTGACATAGTAAACTGTATTTAATCTGCCATTTTATACATCTTGCCATATATCTAATCCTAATGAGCAAACGACATGGGTATAACCCTCTTTGTGTGCATAATGTTTAAAATGCAAGCCAAACATAATAAAATAAAATAAAAATACAAGAAACCAATCTGTGGCTTGGAATGTAAAGTTGTTGCTTTTAATAGAAGGTTAGCACAGGGATTATGGTTTAATAAACATAAGTTTCAATAGGTTTTCCTACAGTTACCTCATCTTTCTTCTCTGATTAATTTAGCACATTGAAATATTGGCCTTACATGCATATAGAGAGAATATTTTTTGTGAATAATTTGGTGGTTCCTAATGGTTTTAATAACTCAATTTTGATTTGTGGCATTTCAATTCACCTTATATAATTTGAAAATGTGCAGCCCTGGTATTCTCACATAATGTCGGGGTGCGACATTAATTTTCTGGGCAATAGCTTATTATTTGTAGCCAAGACACTAAGGTATTGTGCATATACAAAATATGACAACTAACTAGTCCCAGTCTCCTCTCCACCATACAGTACAGCATTAGGCCAATGCAACATATAACAAACAGTGCTTCGTTTAATTAACACAGCGCCATTTATTGCTTCATAATACATATTCATAGCCATCTTAAAAATAAAAGGTGATTAAGAAAGTCGATTCATGTCCTCGGCTAGCCAAATCCTCTGAATTAGGTCACTCTTGCAGAGAATTGCTGTTAATGTGCTGCGTCCTCTAGAGGGCACTGCGGATTAATAAGAACATTTAAATGTGCTCGAGAACGTGCACTCGAGAAGTATCGTGGGCGGGGCTCGATTGGGGTCACGTGAGTCTAGTTGGCGCCTGTGATTGGTCATGGTCACTCGTTATCCCTTTCCAGAGTTTTCACCCCGGGTTTATCAAGTTATTGACCCTGTTACAGAAAACAACATATTTATTCTAACTTTTAAATACATATATTGAGCAAAACTATCATTGAATGTATCTTTATTATATTTCCATACAGATTTACACATTACAAGAAGTCTTACGGGGAGTTTTAGCACTCGGCCCTTTGGAATCTCACCCGTTGAGTACTTACTATCAGTCCTCGCCCCCTGTTGGCCGTTGTGTTAAACGGCACGGATCGATCAATAGAAATGAATACAGAGTGGGAGGGCTGGTCGTAAGCAGTGAGAGTAGAGTGGGCAGGCTGGCTGTTAAAGAAAGAGCTGCGCCTCAGGACCCTCCTCTCTTCATCACTACGGCGCTTTTCGCCCGTTGTTCGTGAAACGTGAGGCCCTCCCGAAGAACTCCGACTCGCCTATCTTTCCTTGTGATCTGTTTTATAGAAGTGCCGGACTAATATTTATCCGGACCCTTACACGTATTGGATTTTTATTACGCTCTTTTCTTAACTGACGAACGGTTTATTAACGGCTCCGGCCATGGCAGCGAGCGCGAAGCGAAAGCAGGAGGAAAAACACCTGAAGATGCTGCGGGAAATGACGAGTTTGGCGCTCAACCGAAAGTGCTTCGACTGCGACCAGCGCGGCCCGACCTACGCCAACATGACCGTGGGCTCGTTCGTCTGCACGTCCTGCTCAGGCATCCTGTGAGCCACCCTCCTGTGTCTGTCTGTCTGTCTGTCTGTCTGTCTGAGCCTCTTTATTTCGCACTCTGTCTGTGTCTCAAAACCAAGTGCGCTGCCTACAGTCTAGACATCTCACAGCCCGTGAAGCCATAAAACATGTCTAGTTTTAGGCAGCTCACTAGGTTTTGATACCGATTATTTAAAGCCAGCTGTTGAACCATTAGCATAAATGTTTTTCTTTGGGGTGTTTAAAATGTAAATAAGGGTGGGTAAATGGTTTGTTGTCTTTTGGGGGGTTGGTTATCTGTCAATTAACCAGGCTTGATGGGTGGGGAAATTGTATTCTCGGTGGTTGTCTGGTTGGGCTAATGCTGTAAAATCATGAGTGTCTATTGTCTTGATAACGTTACTCCAGCAAACTTGGGCAGCGTAACCTGTAGGCATGTCACTGGACTTTTCATATGTCCTGCATTGTCTTATCTAGCTGTAAGGAGAGGCCCTTGTAGATCAGATAAACCTCCATTGAGCATGTGGAAGAGCTGGATAGTCAGAGACACACACATGGTGACTGTGACATGTGGCACAGGGTGTGTGCGCGCACTCCTCTCCTGATAGTGAGGGCTAGGTTTGACATTGACAATCCCTAAATTAAGCTGAATTTATACTTTCTTGTATATGAAGATCAAGAGTGTTAGGGGTTCTGAGGTAATAAAATACATTTGTTGTTAAAAACATTTAAATAATGAAATCGGCACACAAGTACTATAATAAAAATGTAATGATCCATTAATAGATAGATGGTGCGGGACAGATGGCTAGATAAGTAATTTTGAATGAAATACCGGTATATAAAATAGATTTAAAAAGATTAAAATATATAAAATTTATTAAAATAGATTAAATAAAATAAATAAATAGATAAAAATAAATAAATAGATAGATAAAAATATTTAAAATAATTAACAGTATTATATGCATTAATAAGTAAAACACTGTTATACATTTATAATATTAATATTTCACAGAATATGCTATAATTGGTATTTTTCCATGTAAACCTAAATAAAGACCAGGATCATCATATTTGGGGGTACAACGTCACGTGATGGTGGTGTATATTATAAAATGCATTATTCATTTGCTTTCTCATGGACACAGTGGTGCAGTAATCTGTTGGGCTCATATTATGGTTGACTAAATGTGTTTATTCCTGCTGTTTATTCCTGCTGTGTAATTCAATCCTAATTTTATTCTTGGTTTGGAATATGATGAATACTGACCCACTTTTTCCCATTTTTGAACATATTCGCCCTGATCGCAGAATTTGAAATGGATTGTCGAAATAGAAAGCGTTGATACTTCTAAAGTGCTTCTTTATTATCTAAATGTCTTCATGAAGAATCTGAATAAATGATTGTGTTAGTCCTTCATCTCTGGTTCTGATGATGAATTATCTCATACATTCTTGACTCATGACTAGTGAACTTGCCTGAACCAGTCATGTCAGAAAAATGATGAGGAAGGTTTCACGGGTTTGCGTAAAAATGGTTTAATTTCCCAGCAAGCGGATGAGAAGGAAACCGTTCTACTAGACTTGTCATGCCTTTACATGAATTTTTAGAGGAGTCTGGCAATGGTCACCTCTTACCAGTTAGATTTGAGCAACTACTCCCTCAAAAGGTGGAAAGCTGTTTGAGAATGATCTCTCGTTGACTCCCATGAGAACCATCTGCTTTGCATTTAAGCACTTCAGAGAGGAATGCAACAAATAGTCTCTGACAGATTGGCACTGTTCCTGAGTAAAGCTATTGATAAATGCTCTTGCTTTAGTGTGGTGTGGTTTGATGTCGTCCTGTTGTCCAGATCTCTGGAATACAGTACTCTTCTTCTGAGTGACCTGTCTACAGAATTACAAAGAAATGGTCAATAATTCTCCCAAAGGCAGAGGAGAGGATAGTGATCGATTGAGCAAATAAAAGAAATCCGAAGCAAGTTTGTTGTTCTAGCTGAAGTCCTGGAGTGAGGAGAGGGCCGAGGATCATGTTAGTTCATTTGGAAGTGCGATCAGGTGTATTTGAGCAAGCCTGTGCACAGCTGTGAGGACTGTCAGTTATGCTGGGTGGATCAGGCTGATAATCAGAAATAAAAACTAAACTTCCTAAACTAACAATAGAATACTGCAAGGATTGTATATATGCCAGCCTAGCTGGTTCCCTCGACAAAAAGCCAATAAGAATTTTCCATTGGCTTTAGGATTCTTGCAGAAAATAAGCTTTGTGACCAAGAGATTCTGGAAAATACCCTGATAATGTGTCATGGCATCTTTTCATTTTGGTTCATTGACACTGACTGGCTAGGCTACGTTTACATGAACCAAATAATCCATAGTAGTCGGATTGATGGCTCAATCGGACTGAAAACTCGTTTTGCGTTCACACAAGGCACCCTGGCCATTTTCCAGGATCAAATCGTAGTGTGAAAGGGGCTATTCTTACACATTTTGTTTTATCAAGATAATCGGTACAAATGAATGAACACAACTTTTTGAAGCAAAAATACAGTTGCCAGAAATAAAAAGTTACAAAGTAAGGGTATAAAGAACTACACCAAAATCGCATGCATGACTTCAATGTCACCACTAAGCTTTCAAAAACTCTTTCAAGGTTTGAGTTAATAGTTTGCAAGAGTGCGATTATTAATGCAGTGAGGCGATGAAAGGGCACTAGTGATTATGTGAGTTTACCTGTTCAGCGTGAAGATGTTTTATGTCTCCAACAACCTCTGTTCCACTTGTTTAAATCACCTGTATTATCACCTTGTCTCTGCGTCCATTGCCAATAGCGCCATTTTTGCTTATTTTTCCGGTTCAGTATGCCTGCCAAGTGTATAGTGTAAATGCAGAAATCGGATATGGGTCACTTTTAAAAGATGTAAACCTGGTCATCAAAAAATTATATATAGTCAACTAATCGGAATTGGGTATCAAGACCTGCAATGTAAATGCAGGCTTATTGGCTTGTATTGTTCCTCCAGTGCATGTCTGTGACCGTGAACGAACAGTGACTATCCAAGTAAACTCCATCAGAGGAGATAATTGGGTTATTTTCTAAGCACCAGCTTTTAAATGACTTCAACTTCACCAGTGAGAAGTCTGCTCCCTCACTGGAGCGTGCACACCAGATGTCAGACAGCCAAAGCAAGGAGTCTGCTTACAACCAATATTTAGCAACATTTCTACAACTGACAGTGCAACAGTAAATGTCCCTGTTAAGGCTCAGTCACACCAAAAAGTTTAAACAATGTTTGTTATAAGCGCGCACAGCGGTTATGTTGTCTGATGCTTTAAATGCTAAAGATCTTTTTTGTCAGGTTGATTCTGATCAAATGTTTTTTTCATTTCAGTGGTGTAGTTCCTCTGTCATTTTCGTTATTGTTGTGGTGTGGAACATAACTTCCCCGTTCTCATAGAATTAAGAGTAGTGTTTTTAAGTATGGATTTTCTAATCTTATGGATTATTCTTTAAGTTTATTTTTTAATACTATCTTTTCGTTTAACAATTTACCTTGGTACACCTTATACTTAAGCTGATTGTCAAAAGCAAAACAATTTCCCCAGTGTGGTTATTAGGTGTTGGATTTTAAGTAGGGCATTTGCATGGGGAGATGATCCTCTGGCCTTGCCCGGATTCATAACTGTGCCACCAATTCCCAGTTTTAACCCTGAATAATTGATTCAATGATTAACGTACTCTTGGAGGCCTTATGTTAAGATGAACTTTATACATGAATATAGATCTTAAATATTTCATCTATATACACTCACCTAAAGGATTATTAGGAACACCATACTAATACTGTATTTGACCCCCTTTCGCCTCCAAACTGCCTTCAGAGTTCTACGTGGCATTGATTCAACAAGGTGCTGAAAGCATTCTTTAGTGTTGGCCCATATTGATAGGATAGCATCTTGCAGTTGATGGAGATTTGTGGGATGCAGATCCAGGGCATGAAGCTCCCGTTCCACCACATCCCAAATATGCTCTATTGGGTTGAGATCTGGTGACTGTGGGGGCCATTTTAGTACAGTGAACCCATTGTCATGTTCAAGAAACCAATCTGAAATGATTCAAGCTTTGTGACATGGTGCATTATCCTGCTGGAAGTAGCCATCAGAGGATGGGTACATGGTGCCATAAAGGGATGGACATGGTCAGAAACAATGCTCCGGTAGGCCGTGGCATTTAAACGATGCCAAATTGGCACTAAGGGGCCTAAAGTGTGCCAAGAAAATATCCCCCACACCATTATACCACCACCACCAGCCTGCACAGTGGTAACAAGGCATGATGGATCCATGTTCAAATTCTGACTCTACCATCTGAATGTCTCAACAGAAATCGAGACTCATCAGACCAGGCAACATTTTTCTAGTCTTCAACTGTCCAATTTTGATGAGCTCTTGCAAATTGTAGCCTCTTTTTCCTATTTGTAGTGGAGATGAGTGGTACCCGGTGGGGTCTTCTACTGTTGTAGCCCATCCGCCTCAAGGTTGTGCGTGTTGTGGCTTCACAAATGCTTTGCCGCATACCTCGGTTGTAACGAGTGGTTATTTCAGTCAAAGTTGCTCGTCTATCCGCTTGAATCAGTCGGCCCATTCTCCTCTGACCTCTAGCATCAACAAGACATTTTCGCCCACAGGACTGCCGCATACTGGATGTTTTCCCTTTTCACACCATTCTTTGTAAACCCTAGAAATGGTTCTGCGTGAAAATTCCAGTAATTGAGCAGATTGTGAAATACTCAGACCGGCCCGTCTGGCACCAACAACCATGCCACGCTCAAAATTGCTTAAATCACCTTTCTTTCCCATTCTGACATTCAGTTTGGAGTTCAGGAGATTGTCTTGACCAGGACCACACCCCTAAATGCGTTGAAGCAACTGCCATGTGATTGGTTGGTTAGATGATTGCATTAATGAGAAATTGATCAGGTGTTCCTAATAATCGTTTAGGTGAGTGATG